TAGAAGTAAAAGGTAAAGAGATAGAGAGAGGAAAGAGCGAGGCGCAGGGACAGCGAACGATGGAAAAGATAGGAAAGGTGGACACGGTTGCAGAAGACTGAGGACGGGGTACCAGTGGCGAGAGCTCTTGTCGCCGTCAGGAGATAGCGTAGGGCAAGTCCAGTAGGCCAGAGCTACACTGTCGTCGAAGATCGGCGAAGGAGATGGCGTAGGGCCAGCCCAGTCGGCCAGACCAACGCTGACGTCGGAGATGGCGAGGGCACAACCGGTCGGCACAGAATCCAGCGAGCGAGTTCACGCCAGAGGCCGGGGCAGACGCAGTGAGCGGGCCTGAAGTTATCTAGATGGCAATGACTGTCCCCTCCTCACTTTCCTGACAGTGACGTCATGGAGCTTCGACCGATCACAGTGGCGGCGAGACTCGTGATTCCGGCCGCAGCGCCTGTTGCTTGTTTTCGGCAAAATAAAGTTATTTGCGCCAATTTATGCAAATTCTGATACATGGAGTATTTATGCGCTGATACATGGAGTTCCATCCGAATATTAAACATCTGAGAAAAACCTCATTTTTTATGCTAAGTACGCATTGCTGCAGACAATACGCTTATTAGAATGCGGCTATGTTAAATAACATTGACCCTGTATCTGCATGTTTCACTGCAAATGTCGTCGAAAGATGATTGTCTTGCATGTGGAGAGAGTGTACAAAACGTTTATTTGATGTTCTGCGCGAGAAAATTGGTGAATTGTATTCTGGAAGTGCTGCGTTGGAAAGTCTCGATCCGTGCAGCGAAGGCGAACGAGCGCATCGAGGCACGTAAGACACGTGCGCTATCTGGTAGTTATCTTTAAAAATGAAGGAAGGCGTGCGTGCGCACTGAGAAAGATGCGCGCCTGTCTTGATAAGGCGATAAGGCGTAGAATGCAAAGCGATGGGCAGGTGCCACCACCGTGTCGTCTTAGCAAAACGTTGGAAACACTCCGTTTTTGAGCGTCGCGTTTCACTGTCAGCGCAGCGTGATAAACGCTACCGTCTTTAGAATTACTTATGTGTGATTGATTGATTGATATGTGAGGTTCAACGTCCCAAAACCACCATATGATTATGAGAGACGCCGTAGTGGAGGGCTCCGGAAATTTCGACCACCTGGGGTTCATTACCGTGCACCAAAATCTGAGCACACGGGCCTACAACATTTCCGCCACCATCGAATTGCAGCCGCCGCAGCCGGGATTTGAACCCGCAACCTGCGGGTCAGCAGCCGAGTACCTCAGCCACTAGACCCCCACGGCGGGGCTACTTATGTGTGCCTTCTCTAGTATAAAGCCACACATACAAAATATTGACGTGTTGTAATTGTACCTCAGATATGAGCAATATTTACTTTTAATTGACAATTGCACAAGTATGAACGCTGAAGCTTGAGCAATATTGGTGGGTGCTATGTATGTAGTTGGCCGTTTGACGTGCCGTTTGGAGCCTTTAGGAAAATCTTTACCGGGCCCAAACAGACAAATGTACAGACAAACATACCAGAACATTTGCGTCCAGGTACCCCAAGAAAGACTGTTGTCTTTAAAACTCGCGTGTGCACAGACGCTACGGTGACGCCGAACAGACGATGCAACGCTCATGCTGAGCAGTGCTGCAAACATCCACAACACGTTCGTTGAGGCACCATGTAGTTTTGAATTAACAAAAACCAGCTGAGGAAAATAGCTCGCTGTTAGTATACAAATGATGCATGCGTGATGGCCGAGTGGCTAACCGCATAACGCCACGGAACAAGTAATCGCCCTAGAGCACTTCAAAGACCGTGGTCATCGGTGCGGGTTCAGCTCAAGCCCGGCAATCGTTGAAGTTACCCGCCCAAACCCGGCCCAGTGACTCAAAGCGAGAGCCCAAGTCCGCCCGCCTCAAAAAAAAAAAAAAGAATCACCAGCCCGGCCTGGCCTCACCCCCGATCAAACGCGACAGAGGCCTGAGCCAATAATCTACGTGGAGTTGCTTTAACACAAGTGGTGTTGCCCAAAGCAAAGCGCTTTTAGTAGCAAATATCTACGTTTTGTTTAAATTTAGGATAATTACTTCTACAAAAGGGCCTCCGCTTTAGTTGAGTCTGGTGGAGCACATGTCACCACCACGCTATAAAGGCCACGCTCGTAGCATGCATTCATCCATGCATACCTGTTTTGTCCTCCCTGCACAGATATCCCTGTTTGTTTTACTGCACATGGCCTATTCACGAGCTGTCACGTGTTCACGGACACGCTCAAAACGCAAGAAAGCCTCCGAATGCGAATGCCGTGCGTTTATCTCGTGTGGTAACAATCATCTGAACTTTTCTTTTTTTCTTTTTTTTAGTGGCAGAGTGGCAGTTAGGCACCAGCTGGCTTGCTTGATGGGCGTCACTGTTCTTGGCCGGCGGCTAGCCCGAGCGCGCTGCAGTTTTTCTGTCTGTCAATAAGTTCACCGAATCAATGTACAGTCGGGTGCGATATGAAAGTAATTGCGCGAGCGTCGACCAAGAGCGAGAACAGGGCCACGGCCCAGAATTATTTTTTCAGAAAAGGGAAGCAGTAGGCAAGCTTCCCTCACTCTTTTTGCTGTTCCTGAAGCTGCGGTCACTCCCGTCCGAGGAAGGTGTGTTTTTTCTTTACTGGCTTCCGATAATAGAAGGGGGTGGTATTTCATGCAACGCATTCTTCGCTATTACCAGTAATCGGATGGCATGAATGCTGCATCTAGCATGTGCATTACGTCACTGCTGCCGTGGCAAACACTGCCCGTGATGACTACATGAGGAGCGGGCTCTCTTCAATTTAATTTTGCTTTTTATTTCGCAGAGTCGCGTATTTGACAAAAAATAGAAAAAAGGATTGTTTGAAACATGATTTATTTTTGGTTCCCGGTCGTCGAGAAGTTTGAGGGACTCAGAGCAACGCCATTTTCGGACGAGAGAGCATGACTTATCTTATATCATCATAACAAAGGAACATCTGAAAATAATGTTTTTTGTAGACATTACAGAAATTAATATCCAATATTCTTTATTGGAGATGAAAAAACTCAGGTTTCTCTCTAAACTCACTGTTACAGTACACATAGTGCTTACAACTTAATCAATACTTCGATACGCCACCCCAGCACTCCTTCACGTCGTTTAGCCTTTTCGGGATAGAAGCAAACAGAGATTTCACCAAATCAGGGTCTTGTCTGAGAGCATTCCACTCCATCTCGACATGTTTCCACAAAGTGTCTGCGTCATTGTTTGTCAAATTGGCGCGAGCCAATCGTGCCTTCATTATTCCCCAAACATTCTCGATGATATTGAGGTAGGGGCTTTTAGGAGGCCAGCAGAGCTGTGCAATGCCAGAAGCATTTAAATTTTCTTGCACTGTGGATGCATTGTGAACAAGGCAGCCATCGAGTTGGAAATAAAAGCATCCGTCAGGAAATGGTTCATTGATGGCGAAAGGTAGAAGAACATCGTCGATGATCTCATTGTAGACTTCGGCAGTAAGTCTTCCGGGGATGCGGAATAGCGAACCGAGACCGGCATAAGTTATTGCGCCCCCGACGTTGAACGATACACGCCCGCTTGCACCGACACTGCGAATGTTTTCATGCTCGTACCTGCAATAAAAGCGATAAATTCGTTTTCTACGCACAAAATTCACAGCGTTGTAACTGTGTAAAAACCCTTTCATCGAGCCACAAAAATGGCATAGTGGGCCAGAGAAAAACGTGAGTTACTGTCTAGTCGAAATGGGGAAGTGGGCCGAACATGAAATGAGAGAGAAGGATAATCATTTGTAATAATGGTAGCAGAGTGGATTGCAAGAAAAGGCAAGCACAGATCGGCACGGCAGAAAATCAGTTCGACGGATGAGATTAAGATGTTCGAGTGAATTAGGGTACCATGGCCGGCAGCAGGACCGGGTTATCTAGAGTAGTATGGGAGAGACCTTTGCTGCAGTTAGGTTAGTCAGGGTGATGCTGCGGCGGATTATGATTTCAGACCGGCAGCAGAAAGTCTTCTTCGGATAGCCGAAAGACTGAGGGAAAGGCCAAGCTCTTCTTTAATTTTCTTTGTTGTCGAAAAAGGGTCTTTCACCACGGCAGCTATTATCAAGGCATCTTCCTCCTCAGTTGTTTTTCTAGACCTCCTTTAATGTGGTGCATCTTCCAAGCGGTTTTCCTGGTAAAATGCTCAAAGAATGCGGTTGATTGTCTTTTGTGGCCGGTTCAGCTTACGGGAAATCTCTCGCCGGGACATAAACCTTCCCAAAGAAATAATTTCTTGGCGTTTCTCTAATGTAAGACGTAGAGGTATTTTCTTGCGACATGTGGTCTGGGGTCACATCCAGCATTGCAGCATTGACACCCCTGTGCGAAAACGTTTGGCACAATTCTACTGGCTGGTGAAGTCAGTATTACAATGCGATGCTTATATTTTGCGCGACATAGCACGTAAATCAAATGAAGGTTGACAATAGCTTTCCCACCAACGTTGTTGTCGTGCAGAAAGATAACAGCCTACCAAGTTACGCTTGATTGCAACGAATAGAACACTTAGAATAGAGAGAAAGGGGGGAACGAGTTCGTAATGGGTGATTGTCGTAGCATAGAACAGCCAACTAGGGATAGAACAAAGCGAAATCTTGATTTTTATTCTTCCTAAACGTACCGCTAGGGCCTCTGGATGCTTGGCCGGTTGACGCTCGCGTGATAACCTTCAACTCGCACCCGACTGTACAGGCAAATGCAAGTTTAGGAGTGAGCACCGCCTCTTCTACCCGACATTTGTCGCCGGTCATGGCACGGAAGACGGCAGCAGGACTTGCTGTACACGTTTAACAGTGACTGAATTAGCTGCTACTGCTTGGGGTCTGACAAGAAAATCCTCGAAAGTAACGTAAAAGTAAGCAGCCTTGAAGTGATTGACTTACGGGATCATTCATTGAAAGTAATCTCGGATTTTTTTTTCCAGTAGATTGTACAGGAACCAAGGGCCGTGTTGCAGGCGCGAAGCGGCGGCATGTCTTCCGTCAGCGACTTGGAAGAGGAAGACGTGGGTGAGCCGCCTGTGGCCTCTGCTGCGTCGGCGGGTGGACGTGGCAGCGGCATGGGTGACATGGCGAAAAGCACCCACGCATCCAAGGGCAAGAGGCTCTCAGAGGAGCGCATCTACCAGAAGATGAGCCAGCTGGAGCACGTCCTGCTGCGCCCGGACACGTACGTCGGCTCCGTCGAGCCCGTCACGCAAAACATGTGGTGTACGACCCCGAAGACGGCGGCGGTGGCGGTGGCATGAAGCACAGGAGCGTCACATTCGTGCCCGGCCTGTACAAGATATTCGACGAGATTCAGGTGAACGTGTCTGACAACAAACAGCGGGACAAGAACATGGGACTGCATCAAGGTATGAAGAGGCACGCGTTCTGTTGCTGCAGTAGCTTTGTCTGTGATATATACTTTGTGCCAAATAGCTTATAGGTATCCTGAAACACTTTTTCAGCATGGTCAAAAAACGATGCCGATTGGTAGTCGAGGCTCCTAATGGCACGCAAGCCGAACGCGCAGGACGTGGTGTGGAATTTATAAGAGAAATTTTCAAAGTATGCTAGAAATCATTCCTACTGAAAATGATGCCATATGTCCAAATGACTACGCCATATTCCCAAGCTCACGGCCATTTGCTTATTTGAGTGTCGTGAGCCGCATAGTTATCGACGCCACCACGTGCCCACGAGCGCTCTTGATCACACTGAAGGAACACCGCATGTTTGAAGAAAAACAAGAAAAAAAACAGACAGATCCCAAGTACAGT